CTGTTGAAAGTGCCAAAACATGTCACGTTTATTATGATTTTGAGTTATTTCCTATTGGCTGAGAGGCAAAGGCAGTTATTACTACTTAATAACTACCTTTGATCATATTCAATCTCAGAATGATATGGTAGAATCATTAAGTCTCAGGTAATGACACTGTAAAATATTTGTTATGGCTTTGGTGCAAAATGCTGGCATAGCTGTTGTATTTCCTGATTTTATAGGTACCTTTAGTGACTGTTTTAGGGTATGTTATATATATAGTTTTCTTGCACTGTGTCAGTATTTTATGGTTGACAAGGCCCAATGACTAAGGATTAAAAAGTTTCTCCAAAGATCTAGGCTTTGGAATAGCCCAGTCAGAATACTGACATTCCCCAAAGGTGGCTTTCATCATGCAATAGTATTCAGCCCCAAAAAGGCATATTTCCACTTGTAACTAGAGAAAATTTGTTACATGTAAATGAGGTACATTCTGAAAGCATCACTGACTGTTTCTTGTGATTGAAGACAAAGCTATCTCTATATATTTCACAGCCGTCTTAAAATTTAATCAGGATACCTGCATAATGAGTTAGTAGCTTCACTTCAAAGACTCCTAGTACTAGTGTTGAGTAACTTAAGGCCCATTAGGGATGTTTATCAGGATTGAGAAAGGCATGTTCATGAAAACCCCATTAAGTATATTTGTTGTATTGACTTATTCCTAGAGAAACTTAACACTGCTATAAATCATAAAGTTCCAAAGAACAGATTTTGATGTTGATCATTAAGCTTTTCTGAATAAGATTCATTTCTGAGTAGCTTCTTCTATAAATCTATTCTTTTAGAATTTTTTACGTAAATTAAATGAAGCACTTAATATAGAGAATTGTTTCAAAATTCTCAGTTTGAGAATGCTTATGACCATTGCTTTCTTTTTTTCTTCTCTTTATTATTATTATTACTATTTTAATCTTGGGTTAGCGATACATGCCAGAGACATGCCAAAGTGCTGAGATACAAATAAAACAAAAACAGATGTAGTTCCTGATCTGACAAATCATGTAGCAAAGATGCAGTTTTGTTACACATGTCTGTACCTTGTATTAAAATCTGTTGAATATATTTTTTGCATTTATATGTTTTGATGTTATTTACATCATATTTTGTAGCTCAGCTTTGCTTTTAATATAGATGTATGAGTATTCTACATTTCTTCATGTATATAAACATATACATATGCATATTTCCAAATACCAACCACTGATCAAATGAGTTATCATTGTATCTTCTCATTAGCAGGTGGTCATAACAAAAGTTACAGAATATATTATGAGTTACAGATCTCTTTTTGCTTTTATCATCTCACAACCAATTAGGATGACAAGTTTTTATTTCAGGTGTTCAGGAGCATCCAAGCATTACAGGATCTAAGTGATTCATCCCAGCTCACTCGCTCTGGTCTGTATGAACAGGACTCCACAGGGATTATTTTGTCTACAGAGTTTCTGCTTTAACCCAATAGGAGACACAAATGCCTTGTAAGCATTGACTAGAAAATATTTATACGTATTTTTTTTCTTTGTTTTACGAAGCATAGCATTAAAAATTAAAACACTGGTGTAAATACAAATGTTGATGTGACAAAAACATTTTCATCTGTTTTATTTTTTAAATATGGGTAGAAACTCATTTCTTCTGCAATAGCCTTAGTCAGTTTATTTTTCTTGTTCACAGCACTCATGTTTATAGCACTAGTTCACAGATGTTAGTTGCCACGAATATGTATCCGCAGAAAGTGTGAGCCACAACCTATGTAGTAGCTATTGCAAGCTTCACTTCCCTTACACAGTCGAGCATCTGTTTATGGCTCTTGCTTCTTTTTTTTATCATAGGTGTGCCCTTGTGCCTTTAAGGTCCTTTGTGTTCGTTCTGTCAGATGAAGTTAATTTTCTCTAGTTTCTCAAGATGGGGATTATTTCTGCTATTTTACAAAAGTAATATGGAAGCTTTGGTATGCCCATCATATACCTTATTTTATTTTCTTTGAAAATTTCTCTTCTACATAATACAGGCTTCTGTATGTTAGTAGCAATTCAGGTTGTTAACTACATGTTAAAAATGAAAAAAAAGTAGAAAGAAAGAAAAAGAAAAGAAAAAGAAAAGGAAGGAAGAGAAAGAAAAAGAAAGAAAGAAAGAGAAAAAAGAAAGAGAAAGAAAAAGAAAGAAAGAGAAAGGAAGGAAGGAAGGAAGAAAGAAAGAAAGAGAGAGAGAAAGAAGAAGAGAGAAAAGGACCAGTGAGAAATTCAGTCAAATATTGCATAGCCAAAATAAGTTGATATTTTTAAGCCCCGAGTAAATAATTAAATGTGAATGTTAATTTTTATATAATTTTTAGAATTTGTAAAATATAAGTGGTAAGTCCCACTGAAAGCAAAAACAATCAGTTTGATGATAAGATAAACTCTAGTACTATATATGCAATGTCAATTAAATGGATTAAAATTCATTTACTGTTAAAAATATAAGAAGAATCCCTAAAACTTAAGGCACATATAAGTTGAATAAAAGAAGAGAAACAATGCAATAAGATAGTCCTCCAAATAAAAGATCTATATCAGAAAAACGAACTGCTTGTTCTTTATAATTCATGTTTTTATTTATCCAATGGATGTTTATTGATTGCCTTACAATAAATAGAACAAAGTCTGTGCCCCTAAATAGCTTACATTTTATTGAGAGAAATAGTACTAAAAAAAAAAAAGAAAGAAAGAAGCAGAAGTTTTTACTTCTTATCCCCTTCACCTATCCCCCGATCCCTCCCCTTTGGCAATCACCAGTTTGTTTCTCTCTCTTTGTTGTTGTTTGTTTGTTCATTTGCTTTGTTTATTATATTCCACATAGAACTGAAATCATATGGTATTTGTCTTTCTCTGGCTTATTTCACTTAGCATAATATCTGCTAGGTCCATCCATGTTGTCATGAATGACAAGATTTCATTCTTTTCTTATGGCTGAGTAATTGTTAAATTATTATGTTATATACCTGAAACAAATTTAAATTTTTAAAAGTGAAAAAAAAAGCAAGATAATTTCAGATTGTGATACTTGCCTGAAGGAAATAAACAAGTAAAATGCAACATTAGTTAAGGCAGTCACTTTGGGTGGGCTGTTTGGGAAAAGCCTCTCAGAGGAGGTGATTTTTGACTTGAAGGATCAGAAGAGAAGGCCTTGTGAAGATCAGGGAGACACATGTTCGAAGCAGAAAGAAAAAATGTGCAGACTGGAAGACAGTGAGTAAGGACTTGGTAGGAGATAATAATGGGAAGGAAGAGGCAGATTATTCAGGGCACAGTAGGACACAGCCAAGACTCTGGATTTTATTGGAAGAACCACTAATTAAGCAGAGGAGTGATACAATCTATGTTTTTAAAGATCTGATGGCTGTGTGGATAATGGATAATTGGGAGGCAAATGGAGAGGCCAGGAGACCAATCCACCATAATAACATGAGGTGAGGCAGTGGGAGCCATAGATTTTGAGGGAGGCAGTAGAGATGAAAAGGAGCCAAGGCCGAGTAGCTAACTCTTGGTGAAGGAAAGGAAGGAATCAGGGATGAACATCAGCCCTAGGATACTCACTTATGTGAAAAAGAAAAAAATTAACAGAGCACAAACCTTAATGAAGCAGTAATCAAACTAAAGAGGTATGAACTACTTACATTAAGTTAATCACTTATTTCCATCCTACAACTGAGGAGTGGGACTTGCACACCTAACTGAGGAATTTCATAAGCTTGGTCTACTTAGATTACTTGTAAACTCTGACCAACCTTTCAGTGAAAAAATATCTATCTGGGACTCTTTCTCCCAAGTTGGGGCTATATCATATTTCTCTATTCCAAACTCATAGTAAAGTGCCCTTCAGAGTAGAGGGAGCCAAAGTTGGTCAAATTCAATATCAATTTCTTCTCTTAGTTTTTTTCAGCAGATGTAAAGGACCTGCTATATGTAGGTACTCTTTTACATTCTATACATAAATTATTAATTCTTATAGAAACCTTGTTATGTAATTATTATTATTGTTAATGATATCCCCTTCTTAGAGATAAAGAAACTAAGGTTGGTTAAGAGATATTAACCGTGTTGATGTCAGTCAGTGAGACAATTAGAATTTATACCTATGTCTGTTGTGTTCTAAAACTTGTGTTTTTCATGACATTATGCTGCTGTATTGATCAGAAAATTTATATTAACAAATCATTTAGGACTATATGCTTTTTGACTCCTTTTAGTAGGTCTTCAATAAGAGATTACTGAAAAATGATGATAGACGAATATAAAGACATTAAAGAGACATATTCATATCTCTCTGATAAAATAATAAAGGTGCCAGGTGTTCTAAATAAGTAACTCTGCCAGCCCATAGGAGGATGCTTTCTAACAAGTCATGAGAATATCAGATTGCTCAGCACAGAGCAAACCAGGCAATAGATGAAAGGTTGATTGTATGTTGTATTAAAGCAGTTGAAAAATACTACACTATGCATGGAAATGTCAAAAATGATGACTCAAAGCCAAGATTTAATGAAGATTAGATTTGAGGGAGGAGGAAACAAATGTGAGTGGGAGAGGAATTATCTATGTTGATATTCTTAATCACCTGTGATGCTTATAAAATCAAGAGTCCCAGGACCGTCCTTCTCTATACCAAGACGTTCCAAAGCATGGAAACTTCCTGTTTAACAAACACTCCCAGGTGATTTTGGTTCAAGTAGGTAATGGACCACACTTTGGGAAAACACTGATTTAGTTCTGTCTTTTTTTTTTTTTTTTTAATAAGTCAGCCTGGGGCTTATAAAGGAAAATGGTTATCCAAAGCTGTAGCACCCTTTTTTGCTAGAACTTTGGCTAAGTCAGTCTCCTAGAGGCCCAGTTCTGCCATCTTTGATACTTGGATTTAATTTTTCCAACTCCAGCCATGGACCAGCTAACAGTATATATCTATTTCTCTTCTAGAATCACAACCACAGCTGCTTGCATGATGGACCTAAGGCGGTACCCACTGGACGAACAAAACTGCACCTTGGAAATTGAAAGCTGTAAGTTTTTCTAAGAATGCAGCTAGACTGAACTCTGCTTTAAGGTTATTCTGGTTCATGTCCAGACACAGGTCCTGCAAAGGTCCTGCTACTACAGTAAATCTGGTGGAGGGAGATATAGTATCTTTCCTCAGTGATGCTACCAACCTCTTAGTCTCATCTCTAAATCCCTGGGAGAAATACATAAGGGAAGATATAATCTAGCAATAAAAGGAAGACCCTAAGGCCCTGGAAGGAGACCAAGCGCTATTCCAGGCATTTAAGTATGGAATTGGTGCATAGAGCTGCAACATGGTTGGGAAAATAGGTGGTGATGGCAGGGTGACACAGGAAATCCCAATTGTCTTTGCCTCTCATAAACATTTGCAATTGCAAAATCAATGTGGCCTCTGGACCAGTTAAAACATTCACAAGAGTGTGAGGGGCGCCTGGGTGGCTTAGTCGTTAAGCGTCTGCCTTCGGCTCAGGTGATGATCCCAGGGTCCTGGG